GTGAATATGTTCTTCTTCAAGAATGCGATCACACTCCTTGCTTCATTTTTGGGCAAGGCGATTGCCTCGACCCATTTGGAGACGTAGTCCACAGCCACCAAGATGTAGGTCATGCCATAAGAGCTCACGAAAGGGCCCATGAAGTCTATCCCCCACACATCAAATATCTCGACCTCCATCACAAAATTCATAGGCATCTCATGTCTCTTAGATTTGACCCTTATCTTTGACATTGATCGCATGCCTTGACCATTTGATTTGCGTCTTGGTAGATCGATGGCCAATAGTAGCCACATTCAAGCACCTTTGTCGCCGTCCGGTTTCCTCCATGATGACCTTAAACCGAGGAGTCATGGCATGCCTTGAGAATTGGCATTATCTCATCTTCCGGAACACACTGCCGTGATGTTGTCGGCACAAATACAGAACAAAAAGGGTTCCTCCCAATAGTATTGCATACACTCCCGCAAGAACTTTTTCTTTTGATAAGCTTCAAATCCATCGGGAACAAGGCCACTAACCAAAAAGTTAGCGATGTTGGCATACCAAGGGGCGAATGTGCTAAACAATGCTAATATGTGCTCATCTGGAAAGGCATCATTGATTTCAAGGTCTTCTTTTGGTCTTCCTGCATCTTCAAGCCTAGATAGGTGATCCACAACTTGATTTTCTGTCCCTTTCCGATCCTTGGCTTCAAAGTCAAACTCTTGTAACAAAAGGACCCATCGAATCAATCTTGGTTTGGCATCCTTCTTCGCCATAAGATAGCGAAGAGCAGCATGATCGGTGTAAACTATCACTTTGGAGCCCATCAAATAAGCCCGAAATTTTTACAAAGCATAGCCAATGGCAATAAGTTCTTGCTCAGTCACAAAGTAGTTCATTTTAGCACCATTAAGTGTCTTGCTTGCATAGTAGACAGGGTGAAGGATTTTGTTATGCCGTTGACCGAGCACCGCCCCAATAGCTACACCACTAGCGTCACACATGAGTTCAAATGGAAGAGACCAATCGGGTGTAATAATAATAGGTATTGTGGTGAGCTTTTCTTTCAATTCCTCAAAAGCCTTTAGGCACTTCTCATCAAATGCAAACTTTGCATCTTTTTCAAGGATCTTGCACATGGGATTTGCAATTTTTGAGAAGTCCTTGATAAAACGCCTATAGAAGCCGGCGTGCCCCAAAAAGCTTCGGACACCTTTTACTGAAGTGGGTGGAGGAAGCTTGGAAATGATTTTGATCTTGCTCGGTCAACCTTTATGCCTTGTTTGGAAATTTAGTGGCCCAAAACAATGCCCTCATCCACCATGAAGTGGCATTTCTCCCAGTTTAGCACAAGGTTTGTTTCTTCACATCATTTGAGCACTTGTCTAAGGTTGTCAAGAAAATGCTCAAAGGAGTCACCCACTACGGGGAAGTCATCCATAAACACCTCCAAGAAATCTTCCACCATGTCCGAGAAGATTGACATCATGCACCGTTGGAAAGTAGCTGGGGCGTTGCATAGCCCAAATGGCATACGGCAAAAGGCAAAAGTCCCATATGGGCATGTGAATGTTGTCTTCTCTTGATCTTCCAAGGCGATGTTGATTTGGTTATAGACGGAATATCCATTCAAGAAGCAATAGAGTGACCTTCCCGTTAGCCGATCAAGCATTTGATCAATAAAAGGCATAGGGAAATGGTCTTTGCAAGTAGCATTGTTTAGCTTCCGGTAATCCATGCAAACTCTCCATCCGGTCACTGTTCTCGTTGGGGTGAGCTCATTTTTGTCGTTTTGAATCACAGTCATGCCTCCTTTCTTTTGCACACATTGCACCGGACTCACCCAAGAACTATCGGCAATGGGGTAGACCACCCCGGCATCTAACCATTTGATGATTTCTTTCTTTAACACCTCTTGTATGGAAGGGTTTAACCTTCTTTGATGCTCCACACTTGGTTTTCTCTCTTGCTCCAATTGTATCTTGTGCTCACAAATCCCGGCGAAAATCCCTCGGATGTACGCTATTGTCCACCCAATATCTTGCATGTGCTCCTTCAAGACATTCAACAGTTGTTCCACCTGCACATCATTCAACAAAGAAGAAACGATTACCGGTAGAGTGTCATTAGAGCCAAGAAATTTATACCTCAAGTGCGGTAGAAGTGGCTTGAGCTCAAGTTGCGGCGGCTCAATAATTGAAGGCCTGGCAGGAGGAGTGACTCTATTCTCTAAGTCAAGAGAAAGTTTCTTTGGTGTATAAGTGTAGGACCCAAGTTCTTCTAATGCATTCACCGATTCCATGTACCCCTCCATATTTTCACCATCAAAATTTACCAAAATAGCCGCCAACGCCTCACCAAGGCATTGTTCTTCCATCTTCATCTCGATTGCGTCTTCTACATCATCAACAACATCAATGACTAAGATGTTTTCATATGCATGTGGCAACTTCATACCCTTGCTCGGTTGAAAGGTAACCTCTTCGTCATTAACTCGGAACTTGATCTCATTTTGTTCTGAATCCATAAGTGCTCCTCCGATAGCAAGAAATGGTCTCCCCAAGATTATAGGGATTTCTTTGTCAACAGCACAATCAAGTATCACAAAGTCGGTGGGGAGGAGGAACTTTCCCACTTTCACAAGAACATCATCAATAATCCCCACCGGTCTCTTTATTGAACGATCGGCCATTTGCAACCTCATACTTGTAGGCCTCGACATACCTAACCCCGCTTGCTTGTAAATAGCAAGAGGCATTAAATTAATGCTATCCCCATTATCACAAAGAGCTCTTGCAAAATCGCGCGCCCCAATATTACATGGAATGGTAAAATCTCCCGGCTCTCCTTTCTTTTGAATGGTGGTTGTTACAATGATGGAACTAACCCGGTGAGTCACATTCACCACTTCATTTTTGGTGGTTTTCTTCTTGGTGATCAAGTCTTTCAAATACTTAGCAAAACCCGGCATCTCTTGAAATGCTTTCACAAATGGAATATTCACCGATAATTTCTTGAGAATGTCATAGAACTTCTCGAGTTTGCTATCATCAACCTTCCTAGCAAGTCTTTGAGGAAAAGGGGGAGGAGGCCTAGGAAATGGTGCTAGAGTTTTTGGTGTCTCTTTCACCTTTTTTTTAACCTCTTCCCGGTTCACTTCTTGAATTTTCACCTCTTCTGGGACCTTTTTAGCTTCAACAACAACTGGGACCTCAACTTGTGCCTCAACTTCTTGTTTGGAATCTTCCACTTCGACCACTTGTCCATTCTCTCCTTGAAGTATTTTCCCACTCCAAGTTGTGATTGCCATACAATGAGAAGTTGGACTACCCCCACTACCTTTTGGGTTTGCAATTGTGTCACTTGGGAGTGTGCCCTTTTGCTTCGGATTTTGCTCTCTTGAGAGGTCTGTCATTTGCATTTCCAACTTTTGAATAGATGCAATATGAGAACCGACAAGGTCGATCATATTTCTCATTGAAGTGTCGGATCTTTCTTGATTTTACAATACTCGTTCAAGCATGTTTTCCAACTTGGAATCACTTGAAGAACCTTCCTTCGAATGTGGAGAGTTGGAATATTGCCCCTTCAGTGGAACATAGGGGTTTGAACTCCGATTTGAAAAGTAGTTGTTGTTGTTACTCCAATTCCCTTGATTTGAACTACATTGGTCATTTCGCCAATGTTGGTTGCCTTGCCCTTGCGGGTTAGGCCTTCATTGGTTTTGTTGTCCTGAACCTTGGTACGGTTGCCTTTGATAACCTTGAGAGTTGTTGACATATATTGCTTCCTCATAATCTTCATTCGATGTGGGTTGAACATCTTCCACCACATTCAGCTTTTCTGTTTGGCTTTCAGTGAACATATTTGTCAACACATTGACGTTGGTGGCAAGCCTGGCAATTACTTGATCTCTTTCTTGGTTCTCCTTAATCATGTTGGTCAAGGAAGGAGTACCATATGCAATTCCACATGTGGTGTCCTCTGAGTGCCAAGCTTGGTTATGTTTTGCCATTTTGTCAAGGATTTGTTTGATCCTCACAAATGTTTTATCCATAAAAGATCCATCGGCTACATTTTTGCCTATAGATTGATTCATAGCATCCAAGCCCATGTAGAATTTCTCCAACAAGATAGAATCCGGAAAACCATGATTCGGCGACCTCACTAAATAAAGCTTGAATCTATCCCATGCCTCATGTAGATGTTCTCCCGGTAATTGCTTAAAAAAGAAAATTTTATCCCGGAATTAAGACTTCTTGCTTTGCGGGAACCATTTAGCTAGGAAAGCTCGGACGAGTTCAGGCCAAGAAAAATGGAATTTGGTGGTAGATTTTGGATCCATTTCCTTGCCTCTCCAGTCGGTGAGTACTTGAACACCCTCGATCTTAGGGCATCATTTGAGACGTTGTTCTGCTTGTGCATCGCACACACACCCAAGAAGTTTCTGAGATGTTGTGTCAGATCATCGTCGGTGGAATTTCAGAAAAAAAAACCTCTGCTTTGAGCAATAGGATAAACCTTGTTCCACCTTGAGAGTGGCAGCATCAACTCTTGGAGGTACAATAGCATTTGTATCCTCAATATACTCATCTATGCCACAAAAGGATTCTCCTCTTTGTCATACTCAGCCATGTTTTCCTATCAACACCAAGAAAATCAAGAAAAGTGTGATGGAATAGAAGAAGACGTAAAGTAAAGCACACACTAATTAGTAATTTCAAAACCGTATTCCCCGGCAACGGCGCCAAAATTTGATACGCTCAATTTACACTTTAATAAATAGTGCAAGGCGGTCAGTGTCAAATATAATAACCCAACAAGGTTGGGGTCGAATCCCACAGGAAATAGGTGTGAAAAGGTTACTTGAGTAGTGTGAAACTTAACTTAAGTCGTAATTTTATTCCTTTAGCTTAACAAGAGAATGATATAATTGTGATTTAACAAGATAACTATTTTGTTATGAGAATGTGATTAGTTTGATTAAGGAAACCAAGGTTGTGTCCCCATCAATGAAATATAATGCTATCGGTGTTAGTATGGTATATTTCTAATGGAAGGTCCTTTGATATGCAAATGGTTTCTAAATGACTACCCAATATTTTCCAATGGTTGGGTAGTATTTTCTCTTTATGATTTTCCCAAATTTAAAAGAGATGCAATTAAGAACAACCAATTTATGCCAAGTAGAATCCACTTATTCCTAAGCGATTCTATTAAACAAGGTTTAAGATCTTGACTTCTTGATATTCACTTCTACAAACCCTAACCCACTTTTCCAAGTAAAGAAAGAGTAAAATGGAATAAGTTAATGTTTGCAACCACCAACAATAAATAAAGCACAAGAAATGAATAAATATCAACCAACCATTATATATATATATATTCAATGTCAAACACCCATTAACATTACACCCATTTAGGGTCCACAACCTTAGTATTTAAAACTAGCTACTAAGAATGTGGTGAAGTATTGGGGCTTACCAAGGCATATTATCAGTGATCGAGACCCCCGCTTCATTGGAAAATTTTGGAGAGAGTTGTTCGACATACTTGGCACGGAACTGCACTTTTCCACTAGTTTCCACCCACAGACGGATGTACAAACGGAATGGGTCAATGCCCTACTAGAATGCTACTTGAGACATTATGTAAGCGCACATCAGAAAGATTGGGCAAGGCTCCTAGACATCGCCCAATTCTCTTATAACTTGCAGCGGAGTGAGTCCACGGGCGGACACCATTTGAGCTAGTCATAGGCCAACAACCACAAACTCCACATTCATTACCAGCCGCATTCGAGGGAAAGAGTTTGGGGGCTTATCATATGGCCAAAGGATGGGAGGAGCAGCTTGACACTGCTAAGTCCTACTTGGATAAGGCGGCTAAGAAGATGAAGAAGTTTGCGTATCGGAAGCAACGTCCCACGGACTATAGAGTTGGGGACATGGTCATGGTAAAGTTTAACCCAAGACAGTTCAAGGCACTACGGGGCATGCATCAAAATTTGATTCGCAAGTATGAGGGGCCATTTAAGATCGTCGCCAAGGTAGGAAAGATCTCATACAAGCTTGACGTCGTATATTAAGATCTATCCTGTCTTCCATGCCACCATGCTTAAGCCATATCATGAAGATAAGGATGATCCGAGTAGGGGCCAATCAAGTCGAGCGCCTATTACTATCACCGCCTCGCATGATCGGGAGATTGAGGCTATCATGGATTACCAGGCCAGGCAAAAACAAGGGCAAAAAGCCACTGCTATGTTCCTCGTCCATTGGAAAGGGCAATCACTGGAGGAGGCCACATGGGAACGATATGAAGATTTATGTCAATTCAAAGATAAGATTCGAGAGTTTATGTAACAGCATTGCACCGCGGTCGTCGCAACATTAGGTGGGGGAGAGTGTGATGACCTGCCATGTCAGCATGCCACATAGGGCCATATGGCATATATTAATGCCATGTGGAAGCTTACATAGGAGGAAGGCTACCATTTGTGAGAAGATTCTAGAGAAGTATGGACATTTCCTTAGGAAGATCGTAGATCCCTATAGATTTGATAGGAAAGTCCTTAGAAGATTCTAGCTATGTAGAAAATTCTAGAGAAGGGACTTACTTGTAAATAATAAGGGACTTGTGTAACAACTAATATTTACACACTAGCCCCTAGGAGACTAGTATATAAAGGGGGTCATTCATTTGGAATTCACCAAGCAAGATAATCAAGTTCTCTCTAATACAAAAGCTTCCTTTGGCAATTCTCTTGTGTTCTAACATTCCTTAGTGATCTTAAGTGTAGTAAGGCTGACTTGGCATAGCAAAATCGTGAGCAAATTGGGCAAGGACGTGAGCTAATTGTCAAGTGCCGCACGTGTGCTTAGTTTAAGACTAAGGACGTGACACTTATCTAAAAAACTCGCTATTTGAGAAAGCTTGTGTACATACTTTTGAAAAGAAAAGAAGTTATCTGTTTTTGAGTTTATAAGTGGGGATTGATCTTTTAAAATATATGTATACTTATTAAGTTGAAGACTAGATATGCTTTTATTTTCGAGAAATATCTTGTAAAAAAGTTCCTTGTTTTGAAAAAAGCTGAGTGTATACTTTTAAAAAAGGGGTGTTTTCTATTAGTAACTTAAGTAAAGTAAGGAACCATTTTGAAAGTATACCTCAAGTCAGAATGAGTGTGCCTTATTTGTAAATCAATTTTCAACGGGAACCTTGTATTTAACTCGTTGAAATTCATCATTTTGTAAGCTTGGTTGGGATTATTTTCGCGATCTGATTTCCCAAAGAGAGTTCTCTTTGCTTTTAAATCTACCAAAGCCTAAAACTTATTAAAAATCATAAGTAATAACAAGATAAGGCCTTTCATTTATTAGAAAGATAAGTTTGGAAATTAATTAATGATCAAATAGTAGAGTACTAGGGTGAGAAAAACTTCTAATTTAAATTTTACCTATGAGTCCTGGGTTTGCCTAATTTCGCTAAAAGAGTAATCAAAATATTTAAATACTCAATATGGTAAGTACGTATACACAGAGGCAATAAAGAACGAAAAATGTAATTTTAAAGTGGAGTAGGAAGAACTGGACTCTCGATATGGGCCGGCAAGTATTCATGCCCAATATAATATAGGGAAATTACCAGCTATGTCCATTTATAAGTTGCTCATTACAAAAATTGGCCAATTGATAAAATATTATTAATATTAGCCAAATTAGCCAATTAGCTATTTGTAGCAAAAAAATATCAAATTTTTGCTTTGTTTTGAGTGGGTGTTATTAGAATAGATTAGGCACAACTTAAGTAGCTTGAATCTCAGTTTTGGGATGATTTGGTGAAGTTTTGAGGTGGTTTGAATTGAAAATTCGAAGTAAAAGCTGAACATGAAAAAAATAACATGTGTATCGCATTGTGTATCATTTGTGTATCACATATGTATCATATTTATATCAATTGTGTATCACATGTATATCCATGTATACCTGTGTGTCTGATATATGCGTGATACATGTTTGATACATGTGTCGCAGAAGACTTTTTTGAACTCGATTTAATTACGAATTTTGATACAAAATCAGTCCAAATGACCTCCAATCTTCCTCAAATTTTGTATATTGACTTATATATATTTTTTCAATGAATTTCAACTATACCCATTGAAAAAGTTCCTTTTTTGTTTAGATTTTTGGAATATTGTAAAGATTTTGGTATTTCATCACCTTATTTGCTACCCCGTCCATGAAATTTCCTTTCCGTCTTGTATCTAATGATGCTAATCACGCTTAAAAATATGGAAGGTGATTTTTGCATGTGATTCTTTGAGAGAAAGAACCCTATTATTTGGTTTTTCAATTTTTGTTGGCTAGTTTTGGTAAGTCTATGACTAATGGCTAGAGATTGGTAAGTTAAGATTTATTTGGGACATTTGTGTAAGTTACCCTATAATATACGCAAGCAGCG